CACACACACACACACACACACAGTTCCCCCTCCCCTATTTCTTCCCCTACGGTTATTATTTATTGGTTAGCTTAATACTCTGTGGCATGAGTTTGATCCCTGGCGCAGCAGACCTCTCCTGTCTTGCCCACTGCTCCCCTCCACAGTGTGTTTCAGTAGATCTGCTGTTCTATTCTCCACTCTGTTTCTGGTGAATCCTCTCACCTTCCCCCACCCCCACCACTGCCTACACCCCAGCTCTTGTATTCATAAATTAAAAAATTTAAAAATCCTCTTGTATAATACTCTATATACATATCATATTATATTCCATAGTATACATTATAATCAGATAATATTATATTATACTCTATATTATAATCACATAATATTATACCCTACAGTATTATACATACTGCACATGTATGTATATGAATAGTTCATTCATCTTCATTGCTGAGTGGTGCCCCAAGGTTCCCAGGTATAGCATTCTACCTCTGAAGGAGAACAGGGCTGTCTCCAATCTTTGGTTAGGATAAATATAGCCACTAGTGCTTCTGTATGAATGTACATTATAATTTCTTAGGAATAAATGCTCAAAAGGGCATTTGGTTATACAGCAGATGCATGCTTAGTTCTATAGGAAACTGCCACCATGTTTTCCACAGAGGCTGACCATGAAGCGTTATCCTGGACTGCTTTATTCTATTCCACGATCTGAAAATCCAGCTGATACCAGCTAGCACACTGCTTTGATTATGGTCGGCTTGCTGTAAATTTTAAAACTGGTCATCTAAATGTTACTTTCAGTAAAATGGGGAAAATAATACATTCCTCATAATTTTGGTGTGAAGAGCAAATGAGTGAAAATTAAAAGATGAGCTGAGATGACATTCTCCTTGGACTCAGCTAAAACCTGATAGGTCGTGTTTCTCCCCCTCTGTCCTTTGCCCATGCCTCAGCCTGGGCATCTCCCTGGACGAGCAACAGAGAGGGAGGGGACAGAGATGAAGCACTTGGCCACTGCAGGATGACGACATTGAAATGGGGTGACGGAGGCTTGAGGGGTCACTACATGATTCTACTTTTGTATGTTTTTACCTTTTCTGTGTTTATAATAAGCAGTGGTTCCCCACTGAGTTCACTGTAGACACGCCCACATGGCCTTACATGGTTCCCTGAGCCCTCACTTCTCTTACCTCCTCCTACTCACCCTTCTTCACAGCTCCAGCCCTACTGTTTCCTCTCTGTTCCTGGAGCAGGCCTGGCGCTCTCCTGCCTCTGGGCCTTTGCTCCAGCTCTTTTCTTCCCCGAATCTTCCTTTCCCAAGGCTTGAACCTGCTCAGATGTAATCCTTTCAATGAGCCTATCTTGATGATCCAGCATTCGCTCCACCTTTCATTTCCCATGATCCTTCTCCATACTTGCCTCCCTAACCCTTATCATCACCTGACAGCCCCCTTGTATAACTATTTGTTGCTATCTTCCCCACCCCCAACTCCAACCTCCAATAAACATAAGCTTCATAAAACAGCTCAATCCTCAGCATTTTAAACAGTACACAGCACGTTCTCAATGAATGAAGGAGCCACATATAAATATTCTAGTGAAATGCTTTGGTAAGGAGATAGCACTATGGGACTCATCATGATCTAAAAATATATCACTGAGTCACTTGATAAATATCAGTTAATTGTTCAGTCAGTACCTTCTGTCCTGGGCTCGGGAAATGCCCCTACGATTAATGGAACTTCTTGGGTTCATTTGTGGGAAGCAGGTAGGAAGGATTCCCAGTCCCGGGAGCGGGCAGATCTCCTTCACCTGCCTTGGCCACTTGCCAGCTGTGTGACTTGGCCAA